CAGGATCCATCTAAAAGGCCACCATCTAACCATCGTACACATGAAGTGAGTGAGTTAACGTTCTACAGCGCTCAGCTGCTCCATGACGGGGATAAACACCGACGTCCCGGCATCCAAATCCAGCTGCCTTAATTGGTGTGCAGCCCAGTGGGTTAGGATGCTGTGCCTGGAATCGGAAGGTTGTCGGTTCAAATCCCAGAGTTGGCAGTGATTTCATCATGGGCCTTTGAACAAGGCCCCTAATCCCCAATTGCAGTGACTGGCTGACCCTGACTCCCTCTCAATTGTACATCACTTTGGATAAAAGCTTTTGGTGGGACATTGGGTGAAAATTTCTCCTGGTCAATGATCACAGGGGAAGTGCATACAGATCCAGCAAGTAGTTTGGATCCAGTTCCAGGTCACTGGCATGACAGAGCCGTAACCTTGGTTAGCCCCCCCCACCGCCCACATCTAAAACGTTCCTACTAAACAGTGGGGGGACGTTTCTGGAGAGCTCGGACTATGCTGATAAAATGTTCCCTCGTCTGCCAGCGACTTCCACCAAGGGCGAGGTGCGACCAGTGTTTGTTGGTATTTGCTGGATTACGTTAATCGCTCGTGTTCATTCTGGCGAGGTCGCCTGCAGCCCCCACCCAATGTGGGGGTGGAGGGGATATTGCGTGGATTACAGCTCATTAAACAAACAGGCCTTAATTGCCCTGGCTTTCTGCTCTCCTGATAGCCTCCAAATGTCATCAGATCATTCACTGTCCACCAGCTCAGCCCAGGGAGCCAAGAGGTTGGGGGGACTCTCCTTCCCATTCAGCGTGACGTAAACCACACATCCTCCACCTTGGGGCTTTGCAGAACCAGGCTATTCCTTTACAATGTCTTCCTTGAAGATCTCCAGTGAGGCTGGCTCCTTTCTGGAACTTTCCGTCCATATAGCATTGCTCCCGATTCAGGCCCCAGCTGCCCATGCTACCCATCCCTTATCTTCTGCCCGGGGGAGCTGTCTTCATCCCTGCCCGTCTCTCTCTGCCTATTGATTCCGGTTCAGCAGTGGTCGCAGGTACCAAAGAAGCACTTTCCGTCAGTCAGGGATCTGTCGGAGGACAGATCAGGACAGACCAGCCCCTGGTTGTGATACGAGGAACATGCGACAGGGGTGATGAAATGGACGGGACAGATCATGGTGGGGATTGGGTGGGATTACAGCGAGGATGGAGAGAGAATCTGAGGAAGACAGCAGGAGTCAAAGTGAGCTTCTAATCCATCGTAATACCCCAGAATCTGCACTCTACACTGGAAAAAACAGGAGAGCTGAGTTGTGATACGTTGGCCCGGCTGTCAGTCAAACAACGAGCCAATCAGGCGAAGGAACGGAAATGCGAGGTGGAGATCACACCCCACCTGGCGCTCCATAGCAGGAGGCACAGGTTCTCCTCGTCCGTTCAGAGCCAGGGGTCCATGAGGATGCAGTTTCATCTGCAAGCTGGGGGAGATGTTTGACAGAATCGGGGCTGCAGGAAATGCGTTTCGCAACCTTTGGGCTGCCTGTTTCGACATGGAGGGTTATGGGTAGGTGTGGAGTTTGTCGGGGGGTGTGTCGGTCAGGGCGTCAGCCTGGAGCAGCTGGGGGGGGTGTGGTTCACGTCCCCTGGTTGGGGTAAAAGTCACCCCAGAGACTGTGAATCCAAAAGCCAGTTTTAGGGGAGTACCCATCAGTACTGACGCAGGTAACCTGGATCACAGATATATATTGTGTGGTGTTGGGGGAGGGGGGGGTCTTGTCTGCGATGGCCTGATGGGCAGGGAGCTGGCAGTACAGACAGCATCGCAGCACAGGTGTCAGACAAATCAAAACCCCTCTTCACCAGAAGACTGCCTCAGAGGCATTCGCACTTGGCAGCGCAGTGTCGTCGCGTTTTCGCGACGGTGAATTTGGATGGCAGTGGCAAATTAGCTCTGAAAGGCTTTTTGGAAACCACTGGGGAACGCTATTTTCGGGCTCAATGGAGAGAAGAGGGGGGGGGGCGGGGTGCCAGGCGTGAACGTTTAGCCTCTGGCTAAAGTGGATTAAATGTCTGGAATATTCTCTTAGGCGGAGCAATCAATGTCGCCGAAATGGCACCGCGGTCTGTGACCTTTGCAAATGAAATAGGCGTGGCGGCTCTAATTAAATGTCAGCGCCGCACCAATCGTTCTCCGGGTCAGCTGACTCGCCAGGTCACGTGACCCAGTGTTTTAAAAAGGGGCAGTTCTCTGATGATCTGGTCAGTCTGAGGGATGCATGCAGCGGCATGGTTTTCGCTTGTGCGGGGGTATGTTTTGTGGGAGTGATCCCCTCCAGGGGATGACGACCGTACCCCCCCCCCCCCCCCCCCCCCCCCCCCCCCCCCCCCCCCCCCCCCCCACCATTGCAGGCAGCCCCCAGGCAGTTCAGCAACCTGTCACTTCTACAGAAGTGCTGCTTCTCGGCAGAGTGGAATTTGTCTTCGAAGAGGTCAGGGTGCTCCAGTCTCCAGGCCTTCTAGCTTCTTCCGGAGACCCAGTCCAAGCTAGAGGACTTGGCTCATTAAGAGGCTGTCACACGTAGCCAGACGAGGTTGAACGAGTCCAGACAATTCAATCCATATCTCGACTGACCTCATCCGTAGCCAATGATATGTTTGGAACTAGTGATTGACAGGGGATGGGTCACTCTGGGGACAAATCAGCTTTCAGCTGGGATCTGTGGCCCCGCCCCACCCCTGGCTGGAACGTTCTTAGAATGATGGAGCAACCCCCAGCTCTCATTAGATGAAGCGACAAAACATGAAAACAGACCCCATGACATTCTTGGACGTAGCCCTTAGAGGAACAAGCCTGGCAGCGTAGCTTGTTACAGCATGTGCGATAAAATGTCACTGTTTCGATGTGACAGGGTTAGTTCACTGCCACTGCCAATACGCATATTATATTCTATTCAGTTTGCCTTCTGGGTGGGGCTAGGGGTGCATATATCTGAGGAGGGGGGGTGTTTTGGTTGTGTAGGAAGGAAGGGTAGGGAAGGCAAGTGACCACAATTGCACTTACAATTATTTTTTCATTTTATTTGAATTACTTTGTGAACGAAGGGATTCATTTTTCTCCCCAGTACACTCTCATTTTTGGAAATGCGTCAAAGTCATTGACACTCAATATTTTATTTATTCAGCAAATGCTTTTATATTTGAGGAAGCATGGTCAGACGGTCCCCAGAGCATTTGGAGGGGGTTAGCACCTTGCTAGAGAGTCCAACGGTGCAATCATTGCATTAACCTTGGGATTTAAACCCACGACCTTCTGATTCCCAGCACAGCAGCCTATCCCGCTGAGCCACAGGCCAGTTAAATCCAAGGCTCACTCTTTAGCCGGCTGGATGCTCAGTAACACTGGTGTCTTTCCCTCGTGTCACAAACCAGCTGTGTGCCGCACGGCCTTAACTCACTCGAACCCGCGTCAGCCGTAACTCCTAGTCGTGATCCAGCGTGAAAATCAAGGTTCAGCCGTGCCTTTATAGCACAGACCTGACCCGCGGAGTGTCAAACACGCACACCGCTCACAACTTTAAAAAGGACGATGTTATTGAATACAGCCGTCGCCTGGCAACCGCTTGGCTAATGATGTTGCACCCTGAACGCGGGTGGCTGGGGGGGCAGGTGTGGTGTTCAGCACAGAGGGGGTGCCTGTCTCCTTGCGTACAGCAGCCTTGTGATCTCCGGGAACGGAAATGGTCTCCAGCCTCCGAGCCCTGCCAGGATCCCTTAATTTCACACTCATCCAACCTTCCGCCGAGGTCTCCAGATTAATTTATATCGGGCCAATCGACTGACCCCCTTCCTGTTTTATGTAACTGCTCACAGCACCTGCCTTTCGATTATTTATAGCTTTCCTTCTCGGAAGATAGCAGAAAGCGGTTCCACCGATGGTGCTGCGAACACAAAAGCCTAGAACCCTCTCACCAAATCACCGTGACATGTGACTGAAATCCATGCACACGATTGGTCAGCCCCTAAGAGGCATGTCCCACAATCACTGCTCTTGCATGGTATTGGTCAACCCATGCTCATTCTTAAAAGGCGGTGCGGTTACCGGTGTGAAGATGAGGGCCAAATCCCGCTGGCGTCGCATCCGCAGTGTTACTGATTGTGTCGGGCTGTAGCAGGTGCCGGGGGGGGATTTGGAGCTGGGACAGCCTCCGGTGGGGGTGGATTCTGGACACGGGGGCTGGATTGTGTCACTGCCCGCCCACTAGAGCGTGCAGCTTGGGGTCCCTGTCCCCCTCGCTGACTTTGCAGTGGTGCTTCCTCTCTAACTATAGCCCTCAATGTCTCCCGTCAGCTGCTCATTTTCTGAGCTGAAGTGGCTCGCTGACTCCGTCCTTCCCCACCACCCCATCTGCTGGGAGAGTGTTTCTGTCTCCTGACAGTTGCAATAACAGGATGCTGACGGGATGTAACAGACGTTTCTGTGACTCCAGGCCCTCGCAGGGGAGAAAACACGCACAGATAAAATGATAAAACGTCAATTCTTAAACAGAGGAGTCACCGTGCCCTGGGAAAATGGGCAGCCAGCGCGTCGCGGAGCAGACAGGAGCTGAGAAACACACACGTAACCAGCCAGGCCTGACTGCGAGGAGTAGGGGGGACAGTGTCCCCAGGCCTCAAGGACAGCGATCGGGGACATGAAGTGTCACTGACAGTAGAGAGTCACCCAAAAGTCACTTCTGATGAAACACACTGAAATAACCAAAGAAGTTATTCTATCTATCTATCTATCTATCTATCTATCTATCTATCTATCTATCTATCTATCTATCCATCCATCCATCTATTTATCTATCTATCCATCCATCCATCCATCTATCCATCCATCCATCCATCCATCCATCCATCCATCCATCCATCTATCTATCTATCTATCTATCTATCTATCTATCTATCTATCTATCTATCTATCTATCTATCTAACTGTGTGCTCCAATTCCTCTTCAGGCTCCTTCCCAGAGGCAGCAGGGCCGAAGGGCCGGGTCACAGGGCTGGAGACAGACTCCCCCTCATCATCCCTGGGCCCCGGGACCCCCCCGGCTGGCCCCCCCACCCACAGGCCCCTCCTCCGGGGCCTCCTCCTGCACCAGGCCCTGCTCACTAAGGACTTCCGGGGAGACCAGCGCTTCTTTGACGGCTTGGAGGGGAGCCCCGTCTCGAGCCACACGGTGGCCCACGAGGACGCGCCCGCTTTCTCCGACGTGGCGACCACCACTGTCACCATGGCGACCGCATCCCTGCGGGGGGGTGTGGTAATGACGCCTGTCGGTACTGCTCCGGGCAGGGCGGGGGGCGAAGGGAGCCCCTCGGCCACCACAGGGACTCCAGTCACCACAGACTTCTTAACCACTCCCGTCACACATACTTTGTCACCTGACACGGTTGTTACGGCAACTAGCCTCGCCCCGCCCACCCTCACAACTCCATCAAAGGAGCTTGTCCTGGACTCGGAGGATGTCGTGACGGGAAAAAGCGACGGTCCGGTGATGACCGCAACACCCCAACCATCTCTGCAAGATGTCCCTGAGAAAAACACAGCACCCACCACTGTAATGACCCCCGACCCCATGACGGAGCAGCCTGCAGGTACAGACCCCCCGTCCATCCTTGATGTAAAGATGGATGCAGGGGAGCTTCTAGCAATTTTTTAAATTGGGAGGCATAACTGGGGCCATAATTTATACAGAGAGACTGACCTTATCATTATCCAATGATATGTTTTCAATCTATGAATGACAGGGGAAGGGCCCAATCAGCTTTCACATGATTTGCTGCATAGCTGCAATGCATCAGAAAATGTCCCATTTCTGGCTGATCTTAACTAATCTCCACCCCACAGACTAATCCAAAGAATTACATAAGTGTCTGCATGAGTGATTTATCTGGGACGCCCCGCTGCGGCGTTCATTTCACTCTAATTTATCCTTACAAGCATTTGCGCTTCAGAGCTCAGCGTAAAACTGCAGCCGTAATATCAGCAGTGCACTGATTAAAGTGCAAATACACAATGGTGGAAATCAACATATTGTAGCGTTAAGGAGTAGAAACAGTCAGACTGATGGTGGTGGAGAGAGAGAGAGGCTGTCACTAAGCTGAAGACAGCACAGCGCCTCTACAGGTCTGGAGTGGAATTGACAGAGCGATTTTGCAGTGGAACGAAGGCGATGGGCAGGGCCCTAAGCAAAATCTGATTAACCTCATTGTCATTTGTCACCTTCCTTCCCATTCTGACAGGCTGATCAGACAGGGGCGCCCCCTTGTGGACAGCTGCTTAGTTCGCTTATACCGCGGGCTGCCCCCAGGAGAGGGGCTTTACGTCAGAAGCTTTGATACTTCCTCTTTGCATCCGCAGTTGCCTGTGGCATCAATCTGACTGCCCCGGACAGCTTCGTCAAGGTGGCCCTGAGCGACTCCGCTTTGGACTGTACCTACTCCGTGACGGTCTACCTGGGCTACGGGGTCGAGATCCAGGTCAGTCCCTGGCTGGGCCATCAGCTCACCATGGAGGGGTTCTGGGAGGAGAGGTCACAGTGACCCCTATGGGTTTGTGAGCAAGTTCGGACTTCCTTTAGGTCTGTTTAATCTGCTATTGGGATGAGGGTGGAGTGACCTCACTTCCTGTCTCTACTGTCCACGCTGACCCTTCTGGCCATTATTGAATTGAATTGAATTGAATTGAATTGACTTGAATTGAATTGAATTGAATTGAATTGAATCAAGACTTTATTTGCTGGGCGCACAGCTATAAACGTACAATTACATTGTAATTCTTGGACAGTTCCCTCTGTCAAGGTTTATAAAAAAAAAAACAAATGCTATGATATATAGAATAGATGATTAATTTGATTAAAAAGAGAAGAGGTGGTGGAGCGAATAAGATGCTTTTAGTGTCAGAGGTAGATGGTGGACGGATCAGGTTTGGCTATGACGTGGGGGTGGGACTGGAGGCCCGTCTTTCCTTCCAGAACATTCTTGACGGTCGTCACATCCTTGCCGGTCGCTCTGACCTCGCTATGCCGCGTGTCACACAGTGGGCAGTGCTGCAGAGTCACTGGAACACCGTGATGCAGCTCGTGGACCCAAAATGCTTTCAGTGACTGGTGGGGGGGGGGGGAGGGGCCTAAGACTTCACTCTGTGACAGCTATGGCAGGTGTAACTCTCCATAATCTGTATGAACTGTAATCACTCTTAGTATTAAACCAAGATGAGGATGTTTTATTATAATTCTAATCTTAATCTAAGATGTGGATATTAAACCGATGTTTTACTTTTTATTTAATATTTCAGAACCTGAAAGAATTTAGTGAGGCTGTGTCTGTAAGCTGGAAAGTTGAGACTTGCAATCTTTTGAAAACATAGTAAGTTAGTACATTAGTATCTTTCGGTTTAGTGCAATCAGATACTGACTGTTCAAACAGTGTCTGGCTGAAGCATGTATTCTGGGAAACAGGATGGATTTCGCTGAGAATATCCTGGAATTTTTGGATTTCTCTTTCTGTCTCCATGTATAGTATTCTCTTACTTTTTCAGTTACATTGCTCCCCGAAAGGCAGTAATTGAGTCGAAAGGCTTTTGCTAAATTAGGACAATGAGCACTAAGCAGCTGATGGCGTGTTTACGATGGGTGTTAGTGCCATGGCATTCGATTTCATGCTTTGGGGGAGATGAATTGTTCGTTTTCTTGTACCGAGTTCCTGGTAACACACTTTAATTTTTCATTTTAATGGGGATGAAAAGGAGGCAAAGTAGAGTAACTGTGAGGAGCGTCACCTCCTGTGATTATCTCTAAGGGCAGAGCGACTGTGGGGAGCGTCACCTCCTGTGATTATCACTAAGGGCAGAGTGACTGTGAGGAGCGTCACCCCCCTGTGATTATCACTATGGGCAGAGCGACTGTGAGGAGCGTCACCTCCTGTGATTATCTCTAAGGGCAGAGCGACTGTGGGGAGCGTCACCTCCTGTGATTATCACTAAGGGCAGAGCGACTGTGGGGAGCATCGCCTCCTGTGATTATCACTAAGGGCAGAGCGACTGTGGGGAGCGTCACCTCCTGTGATTATCACTAAGCAATATTTACATATCCAGACAAGATTATTTACAAGTGTGTTTAACTGGTCCTGTTAGCACCACCTCTCCCTGACGGTGTTTAGAAATGCATTACCCAGCACCGCGGCCCCCTATTCTCGTGTTTGTACACTGAGGCAAGCTGAAATCATGCCCTTGTGTCGGCACTGTCAAGGTTCCCCTCTGCCATCTCTTGCCTCTTTCTCAAATAAAAAAAAAAAAAAAAGAGAAACAATTTCCCAGGGGGTGTGATGAGAGCAGAGCAGAGCAGACTGATATAATACTAATGGATTAGGCTCCGCCCCCTTTCAGCTCTGACTCCGCCCCCAGCCAGCCAACAGCCCATATGCAGGTGACGTGTCTGCTGGACACATACGTTCCTTGCATCTGTCAGCTACCTGAGACCAGCTTTTAGGTGTCAAATGTGTTCTGACTTGATCTCCCTTAGATTTGCTTTGTCCATGATTATTGTTTTAAGAAAGAATGGAATGCGTCTCCTTACTTCCTCTAATGCCTCTAGTGTCATAGGCAGGTAAAAAATCCCATCTCAGAACACGCACACGCACACGCATAGGCCTGACGCTATCTCAGCACTGCCTTCAGGCCCAGCGATGACCAGCTTTCCTCCCCCAGGCTGGCTGTTGATCTGTGTTCACATATGCACCTGATTGGCCCCCTAATTGGACAATTTGGTCATTCTGAGCCTGCAATGGCCCTGTCCTGCTTATGGGGGACAGGGCACCTTTAAAAACACGGGACACGGCAGAGGACACCTTTATAAACATGGGACACAGCAGTAAACACCTTTAAAACATGGAACACTGTAAAGAATTGCTTTGTAAACACGGGACACAGCAGAGGATACCTTTATAAACATGGGACACAGCAGTAAACACCTTTAAAACATGGAACACTGTAAAGAATTGCTTTGTAAACACGGGACACAGCAGAGGACACCTTGAAAAACATGTGACACGGCAGAGGATGACTTTAAAGCGCCCAGTTTGCACTCGTGCTTTTCTTCTGTCTCTGCCTGTTAAGATCGGCGCGCCCGGCTGCTGCTGCGACAGCAGGATGGTAAAGGGCTTGTTTCGGCCTGACCGCTGCTCGCTGTTTACCTGCTGAATAGCGAGTAGGACAGCAGTGTTTTTATCAGGGATGCAGACCCTGAATGCCAATTCGCTCAGACCAGCTTCTCCGCCTAAGTAAGATGTATCGTGTCATTCTCCTGCTGTCTCCACCTACTGTGCTCGGCACTTTTCTCTCTGTTTATCTGCAGCCCTTTTCCGTACCTTCATTTCCCTCCACCACCCATCAACATGTAGAGGCGGGGCCACGGGGGGCACTGGGTTCAGCTGTAAGATGATTGGCCCCTGGAGTGTCCCTCCCCCCATCACTCACCAATTCATAACACATCATTGGCTAATGATAATATTGGTTCCTCCGCATGAATTACGGCTCCTCCTATGTCCAAACCTTTAAAGAATCCTAGAGTTGCCCCTAAACTTAATAAAGGAAGAGATCATCTTCGGAGTGATTGGTCAGTACAGGCTGATCTCTCATAATCTCTCATAATTAATATACAGTGCTGGTGCCCCTTCTTGGCTGGCCCATAGATGGCGCTAACCACACCTTCTGATGTCCTGCATCCTCAATCACATTCCTCCTTTACTCCCAGAGATTCAAAACATAGCCCTTTTCTTCCCTTTCTATCCTTCTGCTTGGGCCCTCATTTGAATTCAGCAGTTATTTGCTGCAGTTTAGTAATGAATGCTGAAGAGAAGACTTTGGGGGCGGGGGTGGCATTCCCACTCTTCTGGGGGGTGGAGACACAGTCTGCTTCACTAAATCTCCACTTGAAGGATCTCGCAGCGAGAGGTTGTTGTTTTCCTCCACGCTTGGGGAGGGAGATGCCCGGCGTGAGGCGGTAATCATCTCCAAGTGTCCCATTGTGCGGCAGGCAGGTGTATCCTCACATAGCATCGTGTGCCATCAAGCTCACAGTCATAACAGGCCACAGCAGTGCGCCGGGGAAACAGTAAACACGCTTATTACCACAGCCAAATATGTGCATCGAGGGGTCACAGAGAAAACACGTCTCCGTTATCACAGAGCGATTCTCAGGCATTTTCTATATGACTTCTAGCCAACTGTGAGCCTTTCGACTCATTCGTTTGTATAAATGCGCCACCTGTGATCTTCAGTCGTAGTTTTCGAAGGCTTTCCGAATCTTCAGAAATGTCTGGATTTTTTTCTGTGCTGGTGCCACTATGAGTCAAGACTTCCAGCATCGCTGAGTAACCAGTTCCAAAGAGAGAAACTGCATCTGACAGGCAGGCTACCTGCTTGGGTCTACCTTAGCTTGGCTATGATGGAGGGAGATTCTGTTCCTGAGGAAATGGCAAATAAAATTAAATTCAAATTCAATTCAGATCATTTCAATTAACTCAATTAAGTTTAAATTCAATTCAAATTCAATTCAAATGCAATTCAAATTCAATTCAAATACAATTCAAAATCAATTCAAATACAATTCAAATTCAATTTGAAAGTACAGTGGTACCGCAGACCTCGAATTTTATCCGTTCAGAACTCCGGATCGAATCCTAAAAAGTTTGAGTTCTGATCAAATTTTCCCCTTAAGAAATAATGGAAAACCAATTAATTGGTTCCCGACCCCAAAAAATTACACCTAAATATGTTTTTTTTAGCATTTAAACACAAAATGAACCGGATAAAACAAGAAGATCATATATTGTACTAAACACATCTAAGCACATTTATCAAAACAGTCATTTGTAAAGTAAGAAAATAAATGTATCCAAACAATGTGTCCTGCCCCGATCGTCCGCTCCTTCTGTGTGCCACGCCCCCTCGTTAACCTCGAGTGGAATCCCCGTGTGATCAGCTGTTTCTGGTTGTTGTCATTAGTCTTCTGTATTTCGTCCGCGCTTCAGTTTGTTTCCCCTGTCCAGTCATTGTATTGTCCATCTGCGTTTTGCCTACCTTACCTGTAATTAAACCCCATATTCCTCGATACCCTGACGTCTGCGCCTTTGTCTCCGTTCCGTCCCCGCTCGGCACAACAATATTATTATAATTAAATGTATTAATGGTTTATTATTATTAATATTAAAATAATTAATAAGAAATCTTTATTTTTAAATGTATTTTATTATATAATAATAATTACTGTTATTGTCTATCTTTGCCTAATTGTATTTTTATGTCTAAATATATGTATTCAGCTAGTGTAAACATGCACAATGCTATCACAGCGAATGCAAGGCTGAGACTGAAGCTTTACCCTATGTTTCCGCTGAGAGACGTGCCGCGTGACTCATTTCCCCACACGTACAAGTTATCTTAGGTCGGCGTTCACGGTTTGACTTCTGAGATTCAGATCGAGCTCTAGGTAATTTTTTTTCGAACTGGTTGGTTTGACTTTTAAGAAATTCGAGTTCTAATGAGTTCGAGAACTGAGGTACCACTGTATATTAAAACGGCAGAAAGCATCAGCAGAAATCAGCAGAGCGAGATCCGCCTCTTCTCTGTACTTTTCCTCTGGGTGCAGCAGCTGTGCGTAGAGAGCGTCTGAACGGCGGAGCAGCCCATCAACGTGGAAATGATGGTCCCTCTGTCAGTCAGACACACAGAAGCGAGGCAGACAGCGCATTTTCATTACTGAAATAGCGCACGTCCCTCTTAAAGCATCACCCCCAACCCTCCCCCCCACGACGCAAATGAATGTTGCGAGAAAAAGAAAATTAACTACCGCTCACTAAATTGCAGAAAAACACCAGACAGTCAAAGTCCTCCTCTGAGAAGCTGTATATCTCAGCCAGTCTGAAAGGACTTACTTCCCATCCTTTATCTTCAGAAATGACTCATATCTCATCCTATACCTTCTGAAAGGCCCTACATCTAGTCCTGTACCTGCAGAATGGACCTACAGTTCATCATGTATCTTCTGGAAAGCTCTATACCCTGTCCAGTAAAGTGAAGGGCTGGCATTGTTCGATTGTTCTGAGACCTTCAGCTCAGTCTGGATATTCTTAGCTAAATTTTAATGGTTGCATAAGGAAGATCCTAACTTTAACAAGTTGTCATTTTTGTTTGTTTTGTTGTTGTACAGGTGTTGGAGGTTAACCTTTTGGCTGGGGACACTGTGACTCTGGATGATCTGGGGGCCAAGGGGCCCTCCTTGCTGGCCAATGAGTCCATCCTGACCGCCGGACTGGTGCTGCAGAGCCGAAGCAATCAGGTGTCCATCCGCTTCCAGGGCAAAGGTCGCGGGCAGCAAGCAGGCTCCTTCCTGCTGCACTATCAAGGTGAGCTGGTGCCTGTCGGCACGTCAGCTGTTGTGGCACATCAATGCCACATCAATAAAAGAACACAACTCTACCCCTCCAAGAACGGAGCGAGTGAGGGAGAGACAATCAAAGAGAGAGAGAGAACACTGGGGAACAAGGTGGTGATGGGTATTGAGGATGGGTGGACACAGGGTTCCTGCTGGTGTGCCAGTGAGGGTGTGGTTGAGATGAAGTCCTTGTGTAGATGTGTCCCACAGAGTCTGAAACTCCCACCCCTGACGGACCCCTGTGAACCCTGCAGTGACCTTTAAACCCTGGTAGCTGAACTTTCAGCTTCATTTCAGTTTCAGCTTCATTTCATAACCAAGTCACCCCAAGGCGCTTTACATGAGTGATATAATACATCATTACACCATTTATGCAGGAAAACAGGGAAAAGAGATGACAAAGAAGAAAGATAGATGTCAACAGAAGAGGAAGAGGAGGTGGAAGAGAAGCTTTCACCTACTTTCCTCTGTGGAACTCACTGGCCTGGGCCCAGTTGACCCATATAGCTCTGGGAGCCCAGACATCCTCTGCAGTGGTGGATGGCGGGGGGAGGGGTGGGGGGGGTTGGTAATGAAGGTACATACTGGAGGTGGGGGGGGGGCTTCATGCAAGCCAGGATCATGGAGAATAAATACCCTGAAAACCCTGAAGAACATTCTACTGCAGCCCTACCGACACGTTTGAGATTATTCAGCCTTTGATTGCCTTAAAAATTCTAAAATATTATTAACCTTTATCTGGAAGCCCTTTGACAGCAGAGCCCTACTTCTGCGGCTTCAGAAATTGCACATCCGCTCCGTTCTCCATTACCGCGCTGTCACACAGGCACCTGACCCGATAACGGGTCCGACGACTTTTTAAACATGGCGAGCAATTAAAACTGCACCTCTTTATAACTAACGGCCAATAAGACATCAGGAAGATGTGACAGGGAGTGTATGGCACTGAGGACGGGATTGGTCACATGACCAGCTAGAGCGCTAACTAATTCTAACGTAGCCGCGATGCTAAGGGTGTTAACTTATTACGTGCATGTTCATGTGTGGGCAGAGCTCAGCTCAGGGGTTTATGTCTGTAAGGGACTCGGGGGAGCTGATTGGATGAGCATTTAACTCTCACAGCCAGTCTGTCTCATGTCTGTTTAATAATGAACCATGGGCAGGTTCATCTCCCTAAAACTCCACAGCGCCCCCTAGTGAGCCCATGCTTAGTGCATTTCGGTCCTCTCCCCTGCGGGCCTGTTGGGGCTGCTTGGCTGTGGTGCAGCCGGAAGGCACTGGCCCCTTAAAGAGGGATGTGTGATTCCCTGTTGGGACAGCAGGGGGCATAGCTGTAAATGTACCCTGTCAGGGAATACATGCCATGCTGCAAACGGTGCACCATCTGCTCTTGGCCTGTAGAGTCTTCCGGAAAATGCTGTACATCCCACAGAGAATTAAAGAGCAACCTGCCATGTCTGTTTAAGGGTTTTTTTTATTTAATGAATAGCTAGTATTTATGAAAACGAGCCCCCACCCTCCTTAAGCGGCACATTGACAGACAGGGGCGGTTTCATTTATTATTCATTAGCCAATGATATGTTTTGAATTGGTGAGTGACAGAGGAGGGGCACTCCAGGGGCCAATCAGCTTTCAGCTGGGACCAATGTCCCTGTGGCCCCACCCCTGTATGTACCCCCGCTGACATAACCTCCAGGGGGCGCTGTATAAACTCTGCTATATTACTGTTACTGGTTCATCTGTGCTCTGATGTGGCACTATGATGTCAGAGTGCCGTGCGGCACAACAGAGAGTCACCATCATTAGTGGCCTCCTTAGTCTGACTGGCATGTTGGCCTTTTAACACCCTGGAGTGTGACAGCGGCACACAGGAGGAGGTGGTCAGACGGCACAAACAAGCGGCAGATTAATTACCCAGCACTAACGAGTCTAACTAGGGGGATAAGCCATCTGTGGCAAAGACCTGGTGGAGGCTAGAGGCTAAAAGTACACTTGAGCTTTACTGGCAAGGGGGCAGGGTCTCCTGTGCTCCCTTTGAGACAGTGTTTGGATGCCTTTTACCCCCGTGTGCTGCCACACTTGCCCTCTCCGGAGGTATAATAGGGGTCACTGATGGCTACACGGATAACTAGGGCTGCACCGGCGATGTGGCACCATCGGGCCGCGCTGTGTAGCATTACCAAGGCCTCAGTAGGCCTGGGGCCCATTAAAGGTGCAGGCTCCTCAATAATTTATAATAAAACAAGGCAACAGACACAGCCGCACACACACAGGCTGACGCAGGGCTGATGGGCAGACTGACCCTGAGCAAGCAGAGCAGGGGAGGCGTTTGGGTGTGATTAGGGGACTGAGTCTGGGATCAGGTCGCTGCCCCATCCAGCTACTGGGTATGGAGCTTACCCTGTCACATGACATGTCACATGATTGTCATCGGTCTGCCTGGCAACAGCCCTCATTGCAGAGAAACTGGCCATGAAGAGCATTCGGAGTTCATATGGGTTCAACAGAACTTCCCAGCCTCATTCTGAGCTTGTGTCTGTCCCATCATGGGTGTGGATCCTGATCTTCTGTGCTGTTTTCCTCTTTGTCCATAGTGTCGGGGGGGTGGGGGGGGCGGTTGAGACAGAAGCTGCTCTCTAAAGAGTGTTTATCTGTGCAGCAAGTGATGCCTCCCTTAATGGTCATGCCCCCTGCTGGACAAGATGAGACTGCAACTGCTTTTGGTGCTGCGATGCATCTTCCCTTGCCTACCCCCACCATGTTTTCTCTCTCTGTCTTTCACAAACCCCTTCAGTTTAATCGACAGGGTAACCACGACACTTCTGTTGCCAAACTATACAAATTACGATTACATTTGGCCTCAAAGCCCTTAGATCACCGGCGCTTTTAGTGAGCTTGTAGCTGCTAGCTCTCTGCCATTATGAACCTTGAAATTATTTCCTGGCTTTATGAATTTCTTTTCAGAGTATATTAAGGTGTCTCTTTTTTTCCCCCGTCTGTCCCTCTCTCTCTCTCAATTTAAGTTGTAAGATCTCACAGTGTCAACGCGGGGGCCACGGTGAAGATTAAATACAGTAGTATAGTGATGAAGCTGAAAATTAGTGGTCTTATAATAACCTCAGGGACCAGAGAGAGAAAAAGAAATAAGACCTTCGGCGCGTTTGGTGTCGATAAGGTGAAGACAGCGGAGAATATCGCTGATGATAATCATAATGTGATAGTATAATGAAAGGAGGTGGAGCGTCAGTCATGGCCGTGTGTCTCCACAGAGAAAGAACGATACTTCATATGGCATTTGCAGGTACACTGGAATGCCTCTTTGCCACACATCCCATCTTACTCTCCTTTAAACCGTTCACGCATGTATATGCAGCTCAGAGAGAAGTCTTGGGTCTGAGCACAGGGTCAGGCCATTTTTTCCAACACCCCTGAAGCATTAATGGACTTGCTCAAGGGCCCAGTGGAGATGCAATCATTCTGGAGAGGACGGGATTCAAACCGGCGACCTTCTGATCACAGGGACTCTCTCTCTCTCTCTCTCTCTTTTTCCTTCTCTCTCTCTCTGTCTTCCTCTCTCTCTCCCTCGTTCTCTCTCTCTCTCTCTCTCTCTCTCTCTCTCACTGGTTGCTTCTCTGTCAGTCTCTCATCTCATCTCCCTCTCATTCTGGATTCCTCAACCGTCCACTGAGAATCCCTCTCCCCAGTTGTCCCAGTTCTGCATAGTTCCTCCCCAGCAAAGCTTCAGTCTTCTCTCCGACTGACATTCAAACCAAATCTGAACAAATGCATAGAAATGCAGAAAGTGGCTGAAAGAGCTATTTTCGGAAAACCCCATCTGAACTCCCCCCTGCTCATATTAAGAAGGTAATACCCCCCGCCCCCCCAATGGGCAGGACTGAGATAAACAGTACTCAGGTTAATTAGTTTAGGGGGGGAAAGACAGGAAGACTTAGAAGCTGGGCTGTCGTCAGCCTGCTTGATAATTGGGTTATAATGAGGTCACCTTAATTGCCGGAACATAAAATCTTGAGGGAGGGTTATGGAACGGGGCGGGGGGGTGGGGGGGGGGGGGGGATGGCAGCCATATTAATACATTTAGGGCTGATTAAGAAAAACATCATATTAGTCAAAGTTAAAATGCACCAATAATGAAGGAATCCGAGAGCGCCCCCCGAAGGCCGATCAGATGGGTCTCACCATACCTTTGTCCTTGTGTTTCCCACAGTGACACTCCAGTCTATGCGATGCTCTGCTTCCCTCATTTGCCCAGCTCCTGGCATCCAGTACCTATCATTAGCATCGCTGCCATTAGCATGGCTGCAGTTAGCAGATTTGGCATTAGCATGGCTACAGTTAGCAGATTTGGCATTAGCATGGCTGCAGTGAGCATGATTGGAATTAGCGTGGCTATAGTTAGCTTGATTGCCATTAGCATGCCAGCAATTAGCATGGTTGCCATGAGCATGGCTACAGTTAGCATAACTGCCATTAACATGACCAGGGTTACCATAACTAGCATTAGCATGGCTGTCGTTTGCGTGACGAGATAGCATGACTGGCATTAGCATTACTGCAGTTAATATAATGAATTAGCATGACTGACATACGCTTTATCAGAGATATTATTTCCATTTGCATTGTTAGCATATCAAAAGTTAACACTGAGTTATAAGGGACGTGCCTTAAAATTCAAACCATAAAGTGTCTATTGGCCTATCTATTATTCCCTTGAGAGCTGCTAGGAAATACGGTTTGATTAATACTACATGCTACAATGACATAATTTGAATGAATCACATTTTTAAATTTTCCTCTCACGTGGAAGGAAAGCAGGCATTCAGTAAATGAGAAAATTTTTAAATAACACACTGATCCTGCAGATTAAGGCTGGTAAATCTCATGCCTGCACTGGCTCTCCGATTTTATTTCATTTTATCATGTGTATCTGTGTTGTGTAAACTCCTGAGTCGGTGATATTCATTAAATGCGACAGAACATATCATCCTGTAAGGGGATGGAAACACTGTGATCATTGGCTCATGATTTGTTTATGAGCCGTGCTCGGCACAGATGCGAGTGTCGAGATGGGTGCTGGGATATTTCAATTTGTGTTCATCGCTTCCTTAGGCGAGATCACCTTGTCTTATAAAACGGTGCGTGAAAAATGGAATGAGACAAGCCAGTTAAGAGAGACAGATATGTTTAAAGATTGATCTGGGCTCCGGGTAATTAATATCCGCAGAATTGCTTACTCTAGCTAAGACAACGGGGTGATGAATTCTTACTCGCTAGATTAGATTAGCCTGGCTACAGTGCAGCGCCTGAGAGAGCAAGCAGATGATCGCATGAGAAAGAGGGTGTCTGTGAGGTGTGGGTGAGTGTGTGCGTGTGTGTGCAACCCTAACCTAGACTTACATCTAACCAGGGATAATAGGGCCCACAGCGTGCTAACAATGCTAACTCTGGCTGATGCTGTGAAGAGACAGCGGGATGTGTGGAGGACACACATGGTGTCATTTTGCTGTCCCTTGAAGATGATGTCAGCTTTATAGTAACAATGCTCTGGCTGACACTGTGAAGAGACAGCGGGACGTGTGGAGGACACACATGGTGTCATTTTACTGTCCCNTGTGAAGAGACAGCGGGACGTGTGGAGGACACACATGGTGTCATTTTACTGTCCCTTGATGATGATGTCAGCTTTATAGTAACAATGCTCTGGCTAACGATGTGACGAGACAGCGGACGTGTGGAGGACACACATGGTGTCATTTTACTGTCCCTTGGTGATGATGTCAGCTTTATAGTAACAATGCTCTGGCAGACACTGTAAAGAGACAGCGGGACGTGTGGAGGACACACATGGTGTCATTCTCTGTCCCCTGATGTTGACATCACCTTAGTTTGTTGTGTCATTTCAATGTGATTAGCACTCAGGCTTCTTGCCATAGTCGCTAACCATAACCCACGTTGGGATGCACTCGCATCACACAGAAGGACAGGTGCGAATAAAACCTTCATCGGGAATCATTCCCACAAGCTTCAGTTCCAGGCCATTGCAGCGTGAAAGTCTTACCATGCAATTACCGGCTTTGTTTGCAAAAACACGACTGAGGCTGAATCCCTTCGGATTTCTAACAAGCTGTTCAGCATGAATGCGTCCTCATACCACCACAGACAAACTCTGTCACAAAGACAGATGGAGTGAGAGACCCTGTATTTGGGTTAACACCACAAAGCCCAGCACTGAACCCAGAGTCTCTTTGGCCCTGGATAAGCAGCCAGTTTTTCAGATCCTGCTCTTCACTGCCCTGCGACAGACAGAATTATCTGCATCTATCAGAGGTGAAGGAATGTGCTGTATCTTAAACTGCCGTCAGTTTCTCTGCTGAATTACAGCCCGGTAATTTATCTAAATGTAACTTTCAGAAGCACTATTTAGAAAAGGAACAAAACCTTCGCGGGTCAGCTCACCAAATCTGTCATTTGACTTTTTGGTCACTGTCTTGGTTTTTACAAGAAGGATTTGCTAAACCGATTCTGCCACATATGGGGGGAAAAATATTGCCGAGTCATTTCTGCTCCTCTGCACCATGACTCTCCACTGTGACTCTCCACTGTGACTCCTCTGCAGACCATAAACATTATTTTCTTTTCCAGAGGAAGTCAGCCATCCCTCAAACACCATCACTCCTCTCAAAGAAGTCAGTATTTCCCCAATGAAAAATACCGATTATGCTTGATCCTTTTAATTAAAGCCTTACACTCAGGGGTAAATCAATTACAAACATACGAGATGTAAATTGACAAATGAAATTCTGCTCTTGCAAAGGTAAATTACTGCTTAGATATTAGGGGTAGTGTCTCTCCCAGCCTTACTGGGAAGGGAGTAGTACCATAACATGCGGTTAATAGTATTACATAGAGGTGATGTCCGCGGTTGTGTTTTAATGTAATTCTAATGGCATGACATAACACGCTAAAGAATGTGTGTAATGTGCTGTGTAAAATTAATGTGTGTATAGATAACTGGGGGCAGTGTGTGGTTCAGCAAGTTAGGACCTTGTGCCTGTGATTGGAAGGTTGCTGGTTTAAATCCCAGAATGATTTCACCTTTAGGCCCCTTGAGCAAGGGCCTTTAGCCTCCAATTGCTTCAGGGACTGTCTGTCCCCTGTTTTCAGTCTTAGGTCATTTGTAAAGTTGGGGCGTGTTGATAAAATGGAAAATTTGACACCTGAAAAAGGAAACTGCTGTTATACCTTTGAGTCCAGTGTGAGTAATAAATAAAGCTGATGGTGCTGTGTGTGAAGTCCCTGGGCCGGCAGGCTCCCTCTCGAACCCTCTGCACCGGCCTTTCAAGCCGATCAGTTCCAGCTTCGCACCAGCGGTTAAGCAGGAGGTCACCCATGCTGAAGTGGGCGGCAATGCCGGACCGGGGTTGGGGGTGGGGGGTGCCTGGAAGTGATAGGCAGGTTCTTGGCTTGCTGGCGGGGTCTCCATGACAACATCACACAGCTGCATGTGATCTGTGTTTGATCCCGTCCACTTAGGTTTTGCCTATTTATTCATCATCTCGGAGGGAATTCAGTGCGGGGACGGAAAGGCGAGCATCACAGGAAAGCCGGCCCACATTCTCAGACCTACTAAACCCAGGCGGCTCTGCATTCCCACTGGGCCTTGGAAATTCTTCTCCTGTGACCTGTGGTTTACTGTCAGTCTTCATTCGCTTCCCCATGACGGTTTAACAGTGGACCCCTTTCGGTCTGTGACAGGACAGGAGCGTCCCTTCCTAGGGGACAGTGAATCTCAGGCCTGACAGGACAGACGCGTCCCTTCCTAGGGGACAGTGAATCTCAGGCCTGACAGGACAGACGCGTCCCTTCCTAGGGGACAGTGAATCACAGGCCTGACAGGACAGACGTGTCCCTTCCTAGGGGACAGTGTATCTCAGGCCTGACAGGACAGATGGGTCCCTTCTTAAGGGACAGTGTATCTCAGGCCTGACAGGACAGGGACATCCCTTCCTGATTCTGGAGGCTTTTGTACTTCTGAGAATCTGATTATTTCCTTTCGAAGGGAAGGGAACAGCGTCCTGCTCTCGCCTCTCAGTGAAATGCCGAGTTCTCTAAAAGCAGATAAAGCCTCTGTTTCGGGGTCTGACAGGGCCCGTTGAATGGGAGACAGCCAAGCAACAAAGAATGAACGAGAAATGGGGTAAAGCAGCAGAGAGTGAAATCAACTTGAACACCTTCAGGATGTTTCTCAGGTCACTGCGGGCTCACTGGGTCATATGGCAGTGATGTGTGTACACAGCTGGGGGTTGTAGTCCCAGTGAGGCACGCAGTGCTGCATTGGGGCCCTTTGTCTGACCCGTACGACTGCATTTTCTTTGGCCTTGATGCAGCTCGTCAGAGACAGGTCAGGCGCCTGGTCAGCACCAGCATTAACGACCTTCTGCACTGGCGAGACGCTTCTGCACTGGAGCGCACTGCGACTCGGCCATAGCAGGTCTGCCAGCTCACTTAAAAAAAAAAACACAAAATGATTATTTCCCGAATAATAGCAGGGGGGCAGAGATTGAAAAGGACAGAATACAGCTTTCTGCCGTTAGAGCGATAAAATGGAAATGGTTCGAACTGTGAAAATGGCTGGCGGTGTGAAACGTCCAATTACGCTATTTTGGTACGGAGCTTACTTAGACAGCTGTGTTTGTGGAAATGATGTGGGAATCAAGTGCTCGGGGGGGAGGGGAGTGGGTAGGGGGACAGTAGTAGTATGGTGAGGACTGGAAATGGACAAGCGAGGGAGCAGGACCAGGTTCGTCCTTTAGATGAGGCTTCTAGGAAGATGGAGCCTCCTCTGCCCTTCCCTAGTAAGCCTATCGTGGTGTCTCTCTCCTTCTCTTCCTTGCCAGCCTTCGTGCTCAGCTGCCCTTTCCCCCAGCGGCCGGCCCAGGGGGATGTGTCCGTCACCAGTCTCCACGCTGGCGGCGAGGCCTACTTCTACTGCCTCGGCGGATACCTGCTTCAGGGCCCCCCCACGCTCACGTGCCGCAATGCGACTACGCCCTACTGGAGTGGCAAGGAGCCCCGGTGCCAAGGTGAGGAATCACACGCTCACAGCTGTGTATGTCCGCCTCAGAGAACAACTGAAGGCATCACTTTACTAGCCATGAACTCTAGATCATATCACAGAACATCTGAGTGATAGCTCGCACCACGGAACAGCTGAGTAACAGCTGATTTGCCCCTGAGTAACAACTAAGTGACGGCCGAGTATGAATGATAGCCAAGTAACAGGTGAGTGTCAGCTGAGTAACAGCCAAATGACACTTGAGTAACAGTAGGGTAACAGCTATGTCACAGTTGAGTAGTAGCTAAGTAACAGTGAGTAACAGCTGAGTATCAGCTGAATTACTGCTACGTAACGGCTGAGTAACAACTGAGGAAAAAGCTAATTCACAGATGAGTAACAGCCTAATAACAGCTAAGTAACACCCGAGTAACACTTGAATAACCGTAGAGTAACAGCTAAGTCATAGCTGAGTAGTAGCTAAGTAACAGCTGACTCACACATGCGGGGAAGCAGAAATCCCTCCAGGCTTGGGAGCGCAGCTTCCCACACAGCCCTGCAATGGCCGTGGTGTTCGGAACCCAGAGAGGCTGGCCGTCCATGAATCCACTGACGGTCACAGGATATCTGGCAGCGTCCTGGCCGGAGATCTGCCTCGCATCTCCGGGCTGTCTCATGCACACAGGGCTTTGTAGAGTGAATCGGTCCCTTTCCAAGGAGCTGTCAAAGGGCCCATTTACTCAGGGTTCCTTCCTGCTCTTTTCTTCTCCCTGCCTGCTTCCTTCGCTCCTCCCTCCCCCGCCCCCGCTTCCCGTCCACAGCCTCCTGCGGCGGAGCGGTGAGGAATGCCACGATCGGCCGAATCGCCTCGCCCGGTTTCCCTGCCAACTATGGCAACAATCTGACGTGCCACTGGGTGGTGGAGGCACCGGAAGGCCACCGGTTACACATTCACTTCGAGAAGGTGGCCCTGGCGGAGGACGACGACAGGTAGCCCTGGCATCCCCTCCATGCCCCTGTGGGCGCTACCGCAGTTTGGCACCTAGCATTGCCGGACTTCCATACAGGCAGCTGGTGATGTGTCCCCGAGTGAATTAGTTGTCCTGCTTTGGGTGAAATATTGAACTGGATAGCAGAGGAATAGCTTTGTGAGTCACTAAGTTAGTTAGAAGGTATCTGGTTGGCAGAGCCGTGGAAAGAAACGCCAGCTCCCATGCTGACTCCACATTTTAGCCTATTTTTAAGCTCAGGTGTAGAGAGATGAAGAGCATTTGCATTTGTCTGCCAAGACCCGGGGACAGAGCAGCCAGTGAGATTCAGTGCAGACACTGGCTGATGTCACCACGAAGTTGTGCCACTTCATAAGACGTCCGATCCTTTTAGTTTGAACGGTGTCCCTGTCACCTGTCCCTCAGGCTCCTGATAAAGGACGGGGATAACATTGATTCCACGCTGCTGTATGATTCGTACGAGGTGGAGTACCTCCCCGGCGAGGGCGTTGTCAGCTCCTCCCGCTGCCTGTTTGTCGAATTTAACACGGATGGATCCGGAACATCCACCGGCGCCGCTGTCCGATATGAAGGTACCAGCTGACGTCACGGTCACTCCGGGGTTTGGGAATTCAGCAGTAAAATGGCCAGGAGGGCTTACAGGAAGTAAGGGCTTAGAGGAAGTAAGGGCTTATAGGAAATAGGGCTTATAGGAAATAAGGGCTTATAGGAAATAGGGCTTACAGGAAGTAAGAGCTTATAGGAAATAGGGCTTACAGGAAGTAAGGGCTTATAGGAAATAAGGCTTACAGGAAGTAAGGGCTTATAGGAAATAAGGCTTACAGGAAGTAAGGGCTTATAGG